TTTTTGCTCCTACAGGGTGGTCAAAAACGTAAATTGTGGTTCTTCTTAAAAATTTCAATTGCATCACCCTGTATATTTGTACAAGTTTGGATTCAATTTTTTATAAGCTTTTTTAATACTAGACACAACACACAACGGTTTTTACGGCTTATGGAATGGCTTAATTCTCTAAAACACCGCATCATCCTAGGAAACAAATAAATTGTTGATTAGTTACAAACTGTCAAAATTAGCTTTATAATAAAAATGTGTTTGAAAATGATTTCTTCTAAAGAAGAAATTGCGAATATGGTGTTCGTTTTGGGCGAATCCCAAAGAAATAGTTTCCTAGCATCTCGCATTTATAAGCAACAATGCGACATCCAAGGCCGGAAACATTTTCCACACAACGAGAACGTTTTGAATCAAGTGAAGCAGTGAAATATAGTAAAAAATGTATAAATAGTCCAAGTGCCACCAATGAGGCGAATCAGTTGGAGATTTTATTAAAGTTGCAGGAAAATCCCCATTTAAGTGCACGGCAAATTGGAGCAGAAACTGATATATGCAGAACTTCAGTCCAAAGGATTATTCACAAGCATACGTACCATCCATATCACCTATGCTTGCATCAAGGCCTTCGTCTTCAGGATTTCGCAGCTCGAATTAAATGGAGCATGAATGTTTGAGGAGGAGTTATTGGCAGACAAGTTATCGAGCCTTCCTTTTTCGACAACAGGTACAGAATACTTGAATTTTTTGATCAAGCATTTGCCTTTTCTTTTGGAGGATGTCAACCTGCAAACTCGGATGCATATGTATTTTCAACATGACGGCGCACCTGCGCATTATCATAATCCTGTGCGTAACTATTTAGACACCTGGAGTAACAGTCGTTGGATCGGTCGTCATGGGCCTATATCTTGGCTTCCTAGATCACCAGATGAACTTCTTTCTAAGGGGCTACGTTAAGCACGAGGTTTGTAGATATCCACCATCTACCAGGGAAAATATGAGGGAAAAGATTAAGGATGCTTTTCTGAACATAAGGGAACACATGCTGAAGGATGTACCTGTACAACGGTCATTTATCCAAAGATAAGGGTCTTGAGTAGTGATAGTTGTTTGTTTATGTTGTTGTTAAAGTTGTTTGTCTCTATTACGCTTGAAGCTGATTTATACTGTTCTGACTTTTATTAGTTTTTACGTCAAATCCATACTCTTAGTAGCAATATAGAACTAGCCCACTGTTTGTCATTTTTTTCCATGGATAAAGTAGTTTTTTTCTTTAATTTTGGTGTGTTGTTCTATTAAAAGCTTAATAACTCAAAATCTAGTGATTTTATCTGAATCAAACCCAATACGAAGAAAAGCTTATGAAAAATTTTATCCAAACTTGCACAAATATACAGGGTGATGCATATGAAATTTTTGAGAAAAAGTTCCAATTCGCGTTTTTGACCACTCCGTATGAGCAAAAATGAAAATTCAAAAACGTAACAAATAAGATAAAAGCTGAGGTGTGTAAGTTTTTTTTGACACCAACTCAGCACTATAAATTTCAATATGGCGGGCTGAGGGGTTGCCGATGTGGGAGGTTTTTTTAGACAAAACACATATCTCAGTAGCTAATTACCAAAACCCCATAGTATGTCATATAAATCTTCTTTTGAATTGGTTTATCCAAATATGCAATAAAATTTGAGGCATTTCCATTTAAAACATCACAACTTTAATATGTAGGTCAAAATTGGGATACCCTGTATAATTGCCAATATTTTAGAAATGTGTCATCAAATGCCATAACTAGATTTTCCCAAAATGTATTTGTTTATGAGTAATATTCCGTCCACACATGGATGGGCCATCCTGTATAGTGTAGGGACATAGCAATGCACCCTTGAGTAATTGCAAGAATATAAATCCTTTTGCTTCTTCCAGACATCGCGAAATACTATCAATTTTTTGTTGTAATAAAGACTGTTCAGCAGTTTGTATTCAAATACTGCATACATGAGAAAACGGCAATCCTATGGGCAGAGCATATTATCTGTTTGATGCCATTTAGACTTGAGAATGAAACGGAGATGCGAGTTTCTCGCTCCAAACGACAGAAAAGTACGCAAATTTTAGCCTGAGGCAACTAGTATTAGTTATCATAGTATCATTTTCACAAAACTCAGACATTGCGTCTGATCTTGTGTGTTTTTGGATGCAGTGATATCCTGTAGTTGTCTGTTGGGGTCATGTTAGCGACCTGAAATTCGAGATGATGGAATTGACGCATGGTTACTATATTTTAAAGTAAAAATAACATTTAAAAATATCAAGATGACAGCTGAGTAGATTTAAAAAATTTTAATAAGCTAAATTATTGATAAGTATGTCACGCTATAATCATACGAGTAATAATCTCAATGTCAAACGTATGACATCACCAAAATGTAAAGTAAGTATTTACTCAAAAATCTTCCCAATACCTAGAGCGTAATGATAAAAGAAAAGGTTTGTATTTTTCCATACCATATCTCACTCAGTTATTGAATCTAATGTGAAATGTGTTCATGACATTTGAGGGCGCATTCCTAAAATATTGGCATTTATACAGAGTATCCCAATTTTGACCTACATATCAAATTTGTGATGTTTTAAATGGAATGGCTCAAATTTTATTGCATATAAACCAATTCAAAAGGAGAAGATTCATATGACATACTATGTAGTTTTGGTCATTAGCTACTGAGATGTAAGGTGTTTTGTTCAGAAAAACCGTCCACTTCGGCAACCCCTCAATCGGCCATTTTGAAATTTGGAGTGCTGAATTTTGTGTCAAAAAAAACTTACACACCTCAGCTTTTATCTTGTTTGTTACTTTTTCGAATTTTCGTTTTTGCTCATACAGAGTGGTCAAAAACGTGAATTGTACTTTTTCTCAAAAATTTGTGCAAGTTTGGATTCAATTTTTTATAAGCTTTTTTGGTATAAGGTTTGATTCAGATAAAATCACTAGATTTTGAGTTATTAAGCTTTTAATAGAACAACACACCATAATAAGGAAAAAAATCACATCATCCATAGAAACAAAAGACAAACAGTAGGCTAGTTCTATATTGCCACTAAGAATACAGATTTGACGTAAAAACTAATAACTATCACTACTCAAGACCTAATCTACAAAAACTGCTCCACCATGTTGAATACACAACCGTAATCTTTGGATAAATGACCGTTGCACATCCCTCAGCATGTGTTCCCTCATGTTCGGAAGAGCATCCTTAATCCTTTTCTTCATACTATCCGTGGTAGATGGTGGATATCTATAAACCTCTTGCTTAACGTAGCCCCCTAGAAAAAAGTCCATCGGTGTCATATCTGGTGATCTAGGAGGCCAAGATATAGGCCCATCACGGCCGATCCAACGATTGTTACTCCAGGTGTCCAAATAGTTACGCACACGTTGACTATGCGCAGGTGCATCCGTGTTTGCAGTTTGACATCCTCCAAAAGCAAAGGCAAATGCTCGATCAAAAAGTTCAAGTATTCTGTACCTTTTAATCTGTTGACGAAAAAGAAAGGCCCGATAAATTGTCTGCCAATAACTCCTCACCAAACATTCAAGCTCCATTTATTTTGGAAATCTATTTGTCTAATGCAGTAAGGGTTTTCCGTCGCATAATGGTGCAAGTTATGCCTGTTGATAATACCTACGCTGTTAAAAGTTGCCTCATCGCTAAAAAGAACCTTATCCAGGAAAGTAGTGTCTTCACTCTATTTAGCATTATTCTACTAAACTCGATTCGAGCTGCGAAATCCTGAAGACGAAGGCCTTGATGCAAGCAGAGGTGATATGGATGGTACGTATGCTTGTGAATAATCCTTTGGACAGACGCTTTGCATATAAGTTATAGGGCTACCCTGTAGAAGCTAGAAAATAGAAAATGCAAGTCAGCACATCATCGCAGCGCCTAGCAACCGTTGAAATGCAACATGATATGTTTCCTGTATTACTCATGCTAACGAACATTGTACTTATATAATTAAAATTTAGTCTTAATCTAACTTTCGTACCATCCACTACTGTATTTTCGGAAATAAATATTTTTTAAAAAGGCACTTACGTTATCCCGAAATATTAGTTATATCAGTTCCTGCTCCAATTTGCCGTCCACTTAAATGGGGATTTTCCAGCAACTTTAATAGGACCTCCAACTGATTTGCCTCATTAATGATACTTGGATTATTTATACATTTTTTACTATATTCCAATGCTCCACATTCAAAACGTTCTCGAAGTGTGGAAAATGTTTCCGGCCTTGGATGTTGCATATTAGGGTACCGTTGCCTATAAATGCGAGATGCTAGGAAACTATTATTTGGGATTCGCCCACAATGAACTCCATATTCACCATTTCTTCTTTAGAAAAATTCATTTTCAAACACTTTTTTATTAAAATGCTCACAAAGCTAATTTTGACAGTTTGTAACTAATCAACAGTTTATTTGTTTCCAATGATGATTTTAGGGAATTAAGCCCGAAATAGTCTTTACTATCACCGACGAATTACTAGACGTTATCCCGCTCAAAGATGCAATGGCCGGAGAAGATATTCTTGATGCTGTAGAATACACAATGAATGACATGGGTATACTACTCTAAAGTTTGCGTAGTGTTGTTACTGATGGAACGCCAGCAATGTTATCGGAAGCACTAGGTCTTACTGGGCGAATGAAAATAAAAGTACGCGACGCTGGGCTACCTCCGATATCATCGGTACACTGCATATTATTACATCAGGAACAACTATGTGCAAAAACCTTCCGTAATTTCAAATCTATTATGGATGTAGTAATAACATGTGACAATTTCTGCAGAAAGCAACGTCTCAACCACGGCAGTTTGAAGTATTTTTAAAAGACCTGGAAGCAACTTACGGTGACATACCCTTTTATTGTGTTACGCGCTGGCTAAGCTGCGCAAAAGTGCTTAAGAATTTTTTGTTGAAATCATTGACGACGTTGACATGTTTATGCAGATTTTTACGACGCCATCTTCAGTGCGTTTCGAAACAGAACCGCCGCAGTTCCAAATGGAGCTGATTAACCTTCAATGCGATACGATCCTTAAGGATAGATACTACCACTACAATAGTGATTTAATTTCGTTTTATCAAGGTGTTAAGCAGCAACATTTTCCCAAAATTCTCGCACTGGCCTTGGAAACTTGCTCCATGTTGGGTACAACGTGCTTCTGCGAGCAGATGTTTTCTTTGATGAATTAAACAAAACTAAAAACACGTCTTTGTCTAATATGTCCTTAGAGGCGGTACTCAGAATTTCCAGTGCTCAAGCCACTGTACCAAATATTAGAAAACTTGTTGAATCGCAACGCTGTCAGAGATCATCTTAAGAATAAATGTGTTCACGTCGAAAATATGAACATTATTTTATCACCCGCGCGTTGACTCGATCAGATCAATTCAAATGTCAATACGAATGTCACTCCACTCATTTTCCGTTGGGGCTGGGAGCCGGCGAAATTAAATCTTATCGCGGATTCGACTAAACTTAGTAATAATATGTGGTTTTTAAGTAAATCGACAAAAAGGGCTTGGTATGCCGATGAAGGTACCTGTCATATCAACTTGAAGATACAACGTGACGGTCATGACGTTTCATATTCATTTTACATATACTTTCAAACATCTGAGCTGCCTAATCCCTCCCCCACCTTCACCTGAGCTGGAGAGGCCTGCTCTAGCGGAATCATTATGCTTTTCTCTGATGTGGATTTTACCCAAACAAATAATTTGTAGAATGAGCATTTTGTTATTATAGCACATCCCTTTTGAGAATATAGATATACTCGACTTGAACTTCATATCTTTTCAAAGCCACCACTTAAATTTGAATAAACTTAACCAAATCTTATTCAAAAATTTGCCATTGTAGCCTTTAATCTGCTAGAGACGGGTACATGATAGTCCGTGAACTATAACCTGTGCAACATGATTAGTTATCAGTTCAATTTTCTTAAGTTTCTATCTGATAAACAGATTTCAAAAACAGAATGTCGCGAATAACGTCCACAGATTCTTAAAAAAAACAATAAGGCGAGGAGAAGATCGCAGACAAAGTCACTTCCGTTAGACAGATAAGCTGTTGTAGTATATGGAAAAAGTTGACAGAAATTGATTGAAAATTATAATCTTGCATGTAAAACTCGATGTCCACTCAATGGTATTATTTATGTGAAAAGCTATTACCGAAACCCGACACCGAAACACTGCAAAAATAATATTCCATATAATATTCATTCAACAGAAAACTGTAGTACCAGTGAAATATACAAATGCTGTCCAAATTGTAAAAGTGCAAACCAGGATTTTAATCTAGGATTACCTATTAATCATGGACCATTTGACAAAAATTGTGAAGTATATAAAAGGAAAATTGAACGTGAGAGGGAAAAAATTAATTATGTAAATGAATAGCAACTACTAAGCTCAGATTTGCAAGACGTGGCTAAATCTGTAAGTGATGAATATAACTCAATATACCATTTAAACATACAAGGAGTCCTGAATAATATAGATGAAGTTCAACAGTTTTTAAGATGGAGAAAACAAATTACTAATTATAAAACCTACAGATGCAACTCCAACTCCAGACATACTGGAGGTGTAGTGATTTATGTTTACCACAAAATACAGATCACATTATTCGATTGTACCACTTTAGACTATGCATACTGGTATGCACATATACAGTTCAAATTATTTGGGAAACGTTATGATCTTTGTACTTTTTACCGTTCACCAAACAGTGATGCAGATACATTTTTAACGTTTTTTGAAGAAAAATGCGAAGAAATGTGGAATTTTAGAAACAATATAATACTTTTAGGTGATTTCAATTTAAATTATTATGGTAAAAGCATGAAAACAAGAAAATTGAAAGAAACCATAAACAACTATGGGTTCAAGCAAAAAATTGAAGAGAGTACCAGAATAACATCATTATCAGAGACTTTGTTAGATCTTGTTATTGTAAATTTCGAATGTGCAGGGATTAAAGCTGTACATACACCTAAAGTTAGCGATCACAGTTGGACAATGCTGCCCTTGGTAGGGCATTTTTCTGATACAAAAATTAAGAAAATCGTAAATACTATTAAGTACGAAAAACTTGAACGAGAACTTGCTGGCTGCTATTGGAATTTTGATGAGAATATGGAAAAAATATATGACAACATAATAAGAAATATAAAAACTTGTTTAGATCTTGCAACTGATAAAAAAGTGATTTGCTCGACAAAAAATACACCCTGGTATAACAAGAATATTAAGGCAGCTCAAAATTTGAGAGACAAACAATACAATAAATGTATATTCACAAAATCAAATGATGATTGGGAGGTATATAAAACTCTTAGGAATAAATGTGTATATGTAATTAGAGAAGAAAAAAGAAAATTATACGATAAACAAATCGATAATAACAAGTGCGACAGTGTAAAGATGTGGAAGACTTTAAAAAGACTGATCAATTCGAAGCCGCATGATTGTGTAAATCAAGTTCAATTCGAAAACGGTACCGAAACAAATTCTTTGGTGATTGCAAACAAATTAAATAAATATTTTGTGGAAAGTATTGTTGATATTGTAGGTACTGCCAATGCTGCACCTGACTATATGAAAACCAGTTTCCAGGGGGAAATGTTGCATACACTTTCAAAATTTCACAGCGTATCATTGAATTATCTAAAAAAAAAGTAAACAGTTTAAAATCAAATAACAACTGTGCCGAAATGACTACTAAAAACGTGCTGAAAAACTGTTTCGAAATTTTGGGATATCCTGTATTAAATTGGATCAATTGTTCACTGAGAAGCAGTTCTTTCCCTGAAAATTTGAAATGCTCTACAATAACACCAGTTCCCAAAATAAAAAATTCTAAAAGATGCAGCGATATGAGACCAGTAAATGTGTTACCAGACATTGAAAAATTATTAGAGTCCATAGTGCATGGCCAATTAATGCAGTTTATAGAAGAAAACAAAATTTTAGTGGAGGCGCAAGCAGGATTTCGAAAAAAATATTCCACAGAAACAGCTTTCCAGTTGGTAACTGAGAATTGGAGAAGAGCCATAGACTCAGAAGAAGTTGTCATAGCAGTATTTTTGGATTTGAAGAGGGCATTTGAAACGATTGATAGAGATATTTTGTTAGGTAAATTGAAGGCATATGGTATAACAGGAAGTGTTTTAGATTGGTTTAGAAATTATTTGTCTAAAAGGATGCAAGTTACAAAAGTTAATGACACTATTTCATCAAAAATTGAAAATACGTTGGGTGTTCCACAGGGCAGTATTCTGGGGCCACTTCTTTTTATTTTATACATAAATGATTTACCTGCCATAGTCAAAAAATGCAAAATTCAAATTTTCGCCGATGACACTATGATTTATATAAGTACTAAAAATATTCAGTTTGGTATCTCTTATATAAATGAAGACTTGAAGCTTGTCTCAAAATGGTTAGCATCTAACAGACTAAAATTAAATGCAAGTAAAACGAAAGCCTTGTTAATCGGAAAAAAACAATGTACAAATGTTCAACTGAATATTGATGGTGAAGATATTGAATTCGTAGAAAATTTTAAATACCTGGGAGTTTTTGTTGACTCTCGATTAATTTTTGATATTCATTATGAAAAAGTTATAAATAAGATTAGTAGTAAAGTGGGATATTTATCGAGAGTTTCTGGATGTCTGAGTTCATATAGCAGAAAAATTATCTATAATACCATCATTCTTCCAAATTTCTTATACTGTTCGACTATTCTATATTTAGCAAATAATTCCATTTTTGAAAGACTGCAAATTTGACAAAATAAGTGCATGAGAATAATACTAAATAAAGATGAATATACTCCAATTAGGCAAATGCTTAGCAAATTAAAATGGCTCAATGTAAAAAATTTTATCAAATATCTTGTAATGATATTCATTTATAAAGTAAAAAATAATATATTTCCATCAAGTCTAACTAATTTAACATCATCAAATGTCGACCATCATTTACATAATACCAGAAATAAAGATGACTTCCATTTAATGACCAAAAAGTATAACATATGCTACAAATCTGTATTCCATCAAGGGTTGATTGAATATAATAAATTATACTCGGAGATAAAAGACCAGAAAACTTTGACAAAATTTAAAGTAAAATTGAGAAATCACTTGTTAAATCTACAATTATAGGTTGCCCAGCATTTACATCATACACCATATGGCTTGAATTTACTAGTTCTAAGTTGTTTACAATTGTTCTGTTTATGTAGCCAAATGTGCTAAATAAATCTTTCTACTACTACTACTACATATAGAAATCAGTAGATTTAAATTTAAGCTTTTACTATTGCAGTTAAAAAAATGTAGTTATCGCTCGAGCGGTTCAGGCGGTTGAAGACAGAGGTAAAATTCATACAAAATTCATAAAAACATAACTCTTGCCGTTTCCCAGATACCAGTTCTGAAGATCAAATTTGAAACACCCAGTATATGCTAGCTGTAAAAGTCCAAGGCATATACTGGAGGCCTGATAAGTCATTTTCACCCGTATATTTTGCTGATAAGCGCCCACCCCAATGTAGATACTCCTCAAAAACATTTTCTGGTATATGATTTTACTATTTTGAGATAAACTGGTTCTGAGCATGCTACACACTATAAGCAAATTCCAAAAAAATGCCCACCGTGTAAAAATAAGTAAAAATAAAATAAACTAGCACTTGCCATTTTCCCGCCATGTCTGTACCGCGGTATCAGCTTAGCTCTCCTTCATTCTTCCCGTAATCCAAAAATGCAAATCACTACAAGCACTTATTCCATACGCCACTAGCACATTCCTCACAAAACGCAGAAATTAGTGCTACCGAAGACTCCGTGTAAGAAGTCCGCGGTATCTCTGAAGTGTTCCTTCGTTCTTCCCGTAATCAAAGGTGCAAACCACTACAAAAACACTTACTCTACATGCCACGAACACACTTTTCCAGGTGCGGCTGAATTTTCCCTTTGAAAACACTGAAAATTCCACTCCCGAAAAGCCGGGTAAAAGGCACGCGACGACCGTTAAAAACAATTGCAACATGGCGTACCAGACGGTAGACGTTTTTCTAGGATTTGAAGTTGGCCGTGTTCCGAACTCAATTCTGAGAATTCTTCCAGACCTGTTTGTATTAGGAAGGACAATTTCGTTTATTTTAATTATTAATG